ATTTTAAAGTTGAGTTAGACTCGACTTACTTAGGCTTAGTCTTAGTAGGCCTAATCTTAGTAACTTTGACTTAGACTTAGTAAACTTAGTTTGTTCAATCTTACTTAGTTGTTTAAAATTAAAGTTCGGGCTGTCCAAAGTCTTTCACTTGACTTATGTTTAAAACACTTCAGACTAGAAATTCGCTGCCCTCCTCCCCCCCCCCCCCCNCTCTCTATTCTAAACTATATAGTCTATTATAGGCCCTACATAAACGAACAACTAAGATGTCTAATTTAATAAGTTGAAGTTCAGTATACTATTAGGACTTAGGGGCCATCCATAAATGAAGTCACGAGTCACCCAAATTTTGCATGTTTTTAATCCCCCCCTCCCCCGATGCCCCCCAAAATCATTACAAAATTTTAGAGCTCCTCAAATATAATGTATACACCCCCCATCCCTCCATCAACCATTTTTAGTTCCATCCCATTTCATGAGGTATTCCTAATTTTAAAATGACGTCTCACTGTTTAACACCCTCATCACAGATCATCACAAAAATGTGACCCCCCTCCTCATTGGAAGAATGACTTCATTTATAAGATAAGATTCTTTTATTGATCCAAACAAATGGAAGTGTTTTATGATTGCATTGTAAATTTTAAGCACAAAAATAAAACAATTTGAACACAAGACATTTAAATTAATTATTTATTTCACTAGTAAAAACCAGCCATTCAGTGAGTTAAAACTGTGAAAAAAGATGCTCAGGTGCAATCGAGTCACCTGCAGAGCAGCGCCCCGGAATTAGTATTATGGATGGCCCCGTTATAACTATATGTTTGTTTTTAGTCATCATGTTATTTTTAGTTGGATCATTTATAGCTGATGACTGATGCTATTCAAGATGATGTCAAAAAAGTTTTAATTCAAATATAAGTTCTCTTTGAAGTGGTTAAGGCATGGCTCTGGCATATTAGATGTACAAAGCTGAAGAGGGGCAGACATAGATTCAGACCTCATACTTGTAAGAATCAAATATTATAAACAAAGAATTTGTAAATCCACAATAAAAAAAATAACAGAGATAAATAGCCAGAAATTAGTTAAGGAACCAAAAATTACTCAGGCATATCAACAGAAGATTCAAACTCAGCTAAAATTTTTCAAAATGGTATCAGCCAACAACATTACAATACAAATGAGCAATGGAAATAGATGAAATAATAGTTAAAAGTTAGAAGAAACAATAGGATTTAAACAGACAGTGAAAAGCATGGTATGATGCAGAATGCAGATAAATTATAGAAGAAAAAACAAGGCTCAGTTAATGATGCTGCAAAGGGTAACAAGGAGAACATGACAATTATTTATTGAAACAAGAAGGGTGGCTACCAAAATGTGTAGATAGATAAACGGGTGATTTAGAAAAATAAAGAATAGTAGAAATAGAAGAGTTGGCCAAGAAAGATATATGAGGGTAATGTATCTGTAGATAAACCAGGAAAAGAACGGCTTTCAAGCTAGATCACACATGTGTGAAAAAATGGATGGAGAACTGATCAAAGAGAGCAGTAGGGTACCAGAGAGATGGGCACAATACTTTGAAGGCATGCTAAATGGCTCAGGATCCAATGAGGATTACGCTCTACCACGAGGAGGACTGGAACCATTGGTCAACCAACCAACACTGAATGAAATAAAAGATGTGATCTTTACCATGAAAAATAACAAAGCGCCTGGAATAAACCATATCACTGCAGAACTGATAAAACTTCGTGGAAACATCCTGCATAGGCAAATACACGACCTCAGAATCTGGCAGGGGGAAGAAATGCCAATAGAATGGGGCTCAGCGCTCATAATCAATCCCAATTCACAAAAAAGGAGCTAAGTTGGTCAGCTCAAATTATAGAAGAATCGTCCTCCTTAACTAAATGTACAAAATGCTCACAAAACTAATAGTAAAAAAACTGGAAAGGTATAGTGAACAGATCCTAGGGGACTATCAATGCTGATTCCGGCAGAATAGGTGAACCAAGGATCATAATTTTACTATCAGAGTTCTTCTGGAACGATGCTCTTCATATGACGATGGTTAACTCCTAAAGTAAAATCAAAGTACAGGGCGTGTACTCGAGGGAGTTCACAGTTTAACAGGGCCTCGGACATGGAGATTCACAATCATGTATCTTGTTTAAAATCACATTATAAAAGTCATTTGAAACATACATTTTAGCACCAGTGGAATCATTACAAACTACCGCCAGAGAGATATTACAGAACACAAACCATCAGGAACTTTATATAACCAGCCATTGCAGCACCTGGCACATGCAGAGAAAAAGCTTGACTGGGCATAAACAGGGAACTTGAAAATACCTCTGTCAAAGGTGGTCTTGAGGTAAATGAAGCGAAGACAAATTATATGATAATGTCACAAAGCACCATGCTTAAGACAACATCAATATAAACAACCACACCTTTGAGAGAGTGGCTACTTTCAAATATCTAGAGGTGATAATAAATGAGCACAATGAAATAATGTCTTAGGTAAAAGAAAGGATAAAAGCAGGCAACCGTTCCTATTTCAGCCTACAAAAGCTACTAGGATGCAAAAACCTCACAAGGGAAACAAAGAAGGCAATATACAACACTATCATAAGACTATTAACTAGTAATATAGTAACCTCCCCTAGTGAGACTTGGTCCCTTACCAGATAAGCAGAGAACCTGCTCAAAACGTGGGAGAGGAAAATCCTCAGGAAAATATATGGCCCAGTGATAGAAATGGTGTTTGGAGAATCCTTACAAACCAAGAGCTATTTCAATTGACCCACCCATAGTCGCAACACTAAAAAAACGGCAGACTGTTTTCATATTATATTTCATGTTCCAAATCTCATTAATTGTTTTACAGTTTACTTACTGTCAGGGTTTAATACTTGCATCTTTTGGAATCACTCTATTTTTTCAATTTTGATTTAGTTTATATATTATCACTGCAAAGAAATTGTTAAATTATTAATTTTTTATCCTTGGTAATAGTGTAAAGAAGTTTTTGGTGTGCCTGTGAAGATTTGCCCACCCATGGTCTAGACTGAGAATTTTTATTATCTTTAAGGCTATTCATGTGCTGGCAATAAAATGTGCCAGTACATTTCATCTTGTTCACCTAACCACCGTTAGAATATATCTTTGTTGGCATGGATAGAGAAAAGAATAGCATCATGGATACACATGTGTTGGGAAAGCAAATAGAAAATGTTGGCCTCAGTCATCAGCTAAATGCTCCCTGGTAAATTCAAAAGGCTTATTTAAATATATAATTTTTGATAGATGTAAAAGTAATGAAAATATAGAATCAAAAAGATAACTAAACTAGTCCTTTACTATTCACTACTGTACCACACGAGAGACTAGGATATTACTTTATAACTTTTTAAAATTAATGGGTATATGTATTGATTAAACAAGAAGAGTAATTAATATTGCATGGTATATAGCACATACCGTAGTCAACAGAGCATAGCATATCATATGCTAATTCATTAATGCTGAACTGACTTGTATTGAGTAGTGACTGTAATGTGGAGGGGTTACCAACCCTTTTATACTCTGCCCCCACTAGGATTGTTTGACCAAGTCTTGCATCCCCCTGTAGCTGATTACATCAATTTAAATACGTTACCATTTGACATTGGATCACAACTTAAATAATGTCCATTGCAGCCCCTGAAGTGCCACCTTGCATCCCAGGCTGGGAATCCCTACTTTAATGTTGTTCACTGTAGTATTTCATATTATTATGAATGTGTTATAGCAATTAAAGTGCTATAGAATTGAATTACAACTTTTTCTAATTCACTTGGAATACGTTTATTTCGGTCTTAAAAATGTGATAACGTAATTACCATTGTTTATATTTAAAGTTTAATTTCTGCGTCTGATGGCTGTGTGGTGTAGTGTGTCAACACAAGGATATGACATACATACTCATAGGATATTGGCCATTGGAGGATCTATTGGATCCTCTAGCTGCATGAAGAGGAATGCTCTGCTACTTTGTAAACTGTTGATTCTTTATAAAAATAAAAAAACCCATCAGACCTAAGGTTTGTCTTAGTGCTGTAGAAATCACAGCATCATCTCTTGAAGATGGACGTATGCAATATTCCAAATATAAATTCATTTTTAATGATTAATTTGTTTAAACTTTTATTTTTCAGGTTCTCCTTCATTCCATAAATAGTTCAGCAAATAATAGCCCCTAGATAAGCTTACCAGGAAAATGGCATTCATTCCAAGATTGTCCTTGACATTGAGTACTTTACGACAAGGAACAATGAGAAGCTTCTCATGTAAGTTCAACGTTCATTTCTAGTCTCTATAATTTTTTTTTTTTTAAATGAGATCCAGCAAAACTTTTTATGAACATTTTTTATGTGTAATAAGTTTGTTTTTTTCCCACTGTCTTTTAGAATGTATACAAGTATTAACTAGTTTACAAGATTGATATTTTCCTAAATTTTTTATGATTCAGCAATCCTGTATTGTGAATTAATTACAATATACACACACATTTTTTTGTGAACTGCTTTTTACATAAGTATAGTTTTAATTATTTTAAAACATCCATATCCTTACAGGCTCCACTATCACAATGGTAAGTCAATCAATTTGCATTTTTACCATGTAAAGATAATAATCTGTTCAACAGTTAAAAAAAAATAGTTTAATATTTTTGTAAAAAGGATTTATATTTTTTTATTCTACTTTCCTAGATGTTAACTTAGCTTTAAATTAAGTTATTTTATAAATTGTTTTAAACTTCTTTAAAAATGTTTTTGTATTTCAGAAAAAGTAACATTGCATTAATCAAATTATGGAAGATAAGATATCAATTACTACAATATTTCAAATGACTTGTTTTCCAGAAATCTATTGCTTTTCATTTTTTCATCCTGTAAACTAGATCTCATAGTATAAGGGTTTTCTTTACTCTACACTTTATCCAGGCTCAAGAATTGCCTGTTGGTTTTGTAGGTCTAGGAAACATGGGTGGCCATATGGCCCGTAATCTTCTGAAGAAGGGCTATCCTGTGGTGGCGTATGATGTGTCGAAAGACGCACTGGAGGCTCTAAAAAAAGATGGTAAAATATTTATTGATTGTGCATCAATTTTACCGATTGCTTCTCGGCTCATTAAAACCACCATGACATCTGGTTTAAAGGTGGACATTGTATCATGTAGCTGTTTCCAGTAGCTGGCGGTACCAAATTCAAATTACCGACCACTAAAACTAACATATGATAAATCACACTATATTATTTTAAGCACATGAACTGTTATCAGATGGCAGAAACCAGCTTTGTGCAAAATTAATATTATATGTTAGTATTAATTCACTGAATTATTTTGGTAACATTATAAAAATTAAAATGAGATAAATGCACCTGATACATTTATCTTTGACATTAATTCCACATTTTACAACAGCAGAAAAATATATCAGTTGAACTCTAATTAAAAATATACCACATTCATTGACCTGAAAAATTTATGTAAATCAATTTATATTTTTTAAAAGGATATGGAGAATACAGTTTTTTTTCTTACAATAGCTTCTGAAATTTGAAATTATAAGAAAGATCTATTTTTGACAATTTAAACAAGCCAGATGCTCACTGCTGTTGAAAGCAATAAGTTATCTTTCAACAAGTATATTACTATAAATTATAGTAAATAATTGCCTATAGCATCACATTTATTATAGAGTAATCCTTGCTATCCCATCAAAAAGGTAGTTGATTGATATTTAAATTATATTTTTAAATCAGATAAAGGCACTATAATTTCAGGCAACATAAAATACTGATTTTTAAGTCATGGTTCTAATTTTTTAATATTTTTTTTTCTCGAAAGAAGACGGTTTTGAGAAGTCATGAATACATTTTTTCTAACTCCAGGTGCTGTTGTGGCGGACTCTCCTGCAGAGGTGGCAGCAAATGTTACCAGACTTGTCTCCATGCTGCCAGCAAGTGCGGAGGTTCAGGAAGTTTATGGGGGCAAAAAGGGAATCTTGAGGTGAGTTGGGGTATTTAAATTTGAATTTTGCTGTCAAAGATGTGATATTCTACCAGTGAACTGTTGGTATAATTTTACATACCGTACCACAGGAAGTCATGCACACATAAAGTGTTACAAAAATTATGTTACACTACTTTAGAAATATACATTTTTGTGACTGGATTGGGCAAAATCTTTTGAGATGAGGTCAGAAAGTCTTTGCTTAGGCTTACACACCTCTACCACTAAACTAAAGGCAATGCCTAATAGATATGTATGTTCCGTGATCTTATGCATACCTATCTGAACTTTGAAAATAAACATATTCACAATTGCTTCAAAACCAAAGCAGCAAATTATTAAGTTTAAAGGCATGGTAAATTAATTTTTTAAAAGCAGGACAAATTAGCAAGTGTAAAAAGCAAGGTAGATTGTTATAAAAGTGTTGCAAGTTTTTTTAAATTTAAAAGCATGGTAAATTAATTATTTTAAAAGCAGTCAAAATATTTGTGTAGCCATTTACTTGAATATATTTACCGTCTCATATTTCAGCACCGTTAAGAAAGGGACACTGCTCATTGACAGCAGCACTATAGATCCCTCAGCATCCCAAGAAGTGCATGCACTGGCACAAAAGCAAGGTGCAGTTTACATGGATGCCCCAGTGTCTGGTGGTAAGAACTGTTTTTGTTTTTTTTAAATCTTAGCTGTCTAAAACCTAAGTGGGCAATTTTTTCCCCAAAATATCTACAGTTGTGACAAATAAAAAGTACAGTTCCCTCACACCACACGGGCAGGAAATTTTATTATAATGTAGCAGACCGGGTTTTTAAACTACAATAACAACATATAAGTAGGCCTATGCACACATTATAAAACTGCTTATTAGGATTACTTGATGGGTAACAATGAAATTTTGATAAACTTTAATATTTTAAGGATAACTTTTTATTGCACTACAATATTTACCTATAAAAAAAAATGTGCTCTTTTGGTCAAAACTGACTTTGCCGCATGTGTCGGTTGGTTATGGCGTTGCCCAAAACGGGTCTTTAGATAAATTATAATCTATGAATGTTTTTGTATAACAACCAAACAAATGGTTCAGTGACTTCAATTAAGGAAAAGCACTTTGTTGTGTTTCTGTTTTGATTTAACAAAAAACTTAGTAAACTTTTGCTGCTATGAAAATCAATCACCCCCCCCCCCCTCCTTTTTAAAAAAATAAATTTTATCATCAGGTGTAAATTAACAAATGGTTTCGTGACTTCAATTAAAGAAAAGCACTTTGTTGTGTTTCTGTTTTGATTTAACAAAAAACTTAGTAAACTTTTGCTGCTATGAAAATCAATCCCCCCCCCCCCCCCTCCTTTTTAAAAAAATAAATTTTATCATCAGGTGTAAATGCAGCAAGAGATGGAGTCCTGACCTTTATGGTTGGAGGACCTGAGACCAGCTTCCAACAAACAAAGGCTTTGCTAGATCAGATGGGAAAAAATGTGGTTTACTGTGGTCCAGTTGGAACAGGGCAGGTAAGACAGTTTCCACAAACTTACTAGTGAATTAAACCAAGAAATTTTTTTTTAATATAAACTTGAAAGGAGAAATTTTACTGGATTTATTTTTCAAATGGACATTTATACCACCATGGAATTTTATACATTTACATACAAGTTTTGGCTTTGGTTGAAGGTAAACTTCAAAGAAAGTGTGCTGTTAACTTATGTCACTGAAGGTAAACCTCAAACAAAAATGTACCATTAACTTATGTCACAGAAGTTAAACTTCAAAGAAAGTGTACCATTAAGTTATATCACTGAAGGTAAACTTCAAAGAAAGTGTACTGTTTACTTATGTCACTGAAGGTAAACTTCAAAGAAAGTGTACTGTTAACTATGTCCCTGAAGATAAACTTCAAAGAAACTGTACCATTATCTTATGTCCCTGAAGATAAATTTCAAAGAAAGTGTACCGTTAACTTATGTCACTGAAGGTAGACCTCAGAAGGTAGACCTCAAAGAAAGTATACTGTTGACTTTTGTTCCTAAATGTAAACTATGAAGAAAGTGTACTGTTAACTTATGTCAGTATGGCAAGGGACCCAAAAACTGAGCATCATCAAGTTGTTTTCTCACTATCACAGGCAGCTAAGATCTGTAACAACATGCTCCTCGCTATATCCATGATTGGAACTTCTGAGACAATGAACCTAGGCATAAGGTCAGTGTCTGCAATGCTGATATGCTTGCAGCAGCAGAGTTAGGTTGAGTGATGGTTTAAATGGAAATGTTTCATCTTATCAGAATTTCATTTTTTTTTCCTTAAAATGATGAAGAATAAGCTTAATTTTGTTAATTAAAACTGGTTACAGCAATGAATATTTAGAGTTATGTCTTATTGGTTCATTCTAAACAGTAAAATGCTTGTGTTTTTACTATTTTTTAATGTGTCTCTCTTAAGACTTGGTTTGGATCCTAAACTTCTGGCCAAAATCCTAAACATGAGCTCCGGGCGGTGCTGGTCTAGTGAGGTATACAACCCCGTACCTGGGGTAATTGAAGGTGTACCATCAAGCAATGGCTACAAGGGGGGCTTTGGCACAGCTCTTATGGCTAAGGTAAAAAGGGATTTAATTTCAGTATAATACCCCGTCACTGTGGTCAATAAAGCTGTCCTATTGAGTTATTGCTACAATGGAGGTTTTGACGCAGCTCTTATGGTTAAGGTAAAAATGGACTATTTTTTTAATTAAAAAAAAAAAATTCTCCAAAATATTGTATTTTTCCGAACAGGACTGTTCATCTGGTTGTTTTACTCAAATCAAACAAGAATATATATATTTTTAAAATGACGTTTAATCACCCGTGAGAATTCAAAATCATAGCCATATCATGACGACTCCCCAACCTTTTTTTTTCTTTTCTTTTTCCAGGATCTTGGCCTGGCCCAGAATGCAGCCACCACCACTAAGAGCCCCACACCCCTTGGCTCTCTAGCTCACCAGATTTACAGGACCATGTGTAACCATGGCTACAGCGGTAAAGATTTCTCCTCTGCCTTTTTATTCTTACAGGAGCACGACAAGAAAAAATGAGCAATTTTAGGCTTTAGAATTTAGTCAAATGGGAGATTTAAATAGAGTGGGAATTTATCGTGTTGATGAAGCTGCTGTTACGGGATAGTTTCTTAAGAAATGAAAATATGTTCATATCAGGATGTGTCTTAACTTCTCATGGCTATAAATGGGGGGGGGGGGGGGGTTTTAAATT